AAAAAAAAAAAAAAAAAAAGAATTCCACTAACAGAGTCTAAAATTGCAATAAAGCCATCCACAGGCTTTCAGTGTGTCTAAACACTGATATGAATAGAGCCCTATATTTTACAGCTGTCACCTCCCCAAGCATCTAATAATTTGGCTATAAATTTCATATTTATAAGTTCTAACATATTGTTTTAAAAACTCACTGTTTACATGTTTTAATTATGAATTTCACACAAGAAAATCCTTGCCAATACCAAAAGACGTTAAGTCTAATAATCTATACAAGTATCTGCTTACAACAAATGGCAATGAAACAAAACAAGACTCAACAAAAAAAAAAAAGAAAGAAAAAACCCTTTCTGAAAGAACAACAAAACCAAGAAACTAATTCTCAGTGACAGTCCCATCTTTCATCTTAAGCCATGCCTTGAACTCTACCTTATTTAATTATTAAATCAGGAGCTGCTCAGCAAGATCTGTCTAGTTTTGATGATTCTTAAATTCAATCCTGCTAACAGACTCTGTCCATTTTTCTCTATATTTACTGTTACCTAATGACAAGGTCTGAATGCTAATTTTTAACTTCAAATTTCATTAAAAATAGAATGAAGTTACTTTGACAATGACCACTTGGCTCCAAAGCATCACTTTTCTTTACATCCCAAATGTATAAAAATTAAAAATTCCACTGTGAAAGATCTTGCTCTTATATTATTTAATTAATAAAATATAACTCTGTAAGTCAACATTTTAGGCAATCAAGTTTCAACTTTAAAATTATTATGTTTAATTCATGTTTGTAAAAATTTAGGATGTTGAGATGGCAAAAATGTATTTCAGATATAAATTTCATGTTTGTTCATGGATGTTGGATACATCATTATATTTATTATCCCGAAAATAAATTCTTGAATTTTTTCTTTTACCCCAATAAACCTGATCCACCCCTAGCCTTCTGCATTGCACTTAACAGCATCATCATTTGCTGGCTGATACCTATGTCCAAGCCAGCCCCTCTCTTACCTAAACTACAATAATAGCTTCCTAATTGGTCTCCCTGCTCCCATTCTTGGCCCCTCACACTTTTTTCTCTGCCTAGGGCCAGAGAGACATGTTTAAAATATTAGTCAGATGGCATCAATTCCATGTGCTCAACCCATTAAAAAATTCAATACAAATATACTAAAAATTCACTGAATTGTACACTTTAAAATAATTTTGTAATATATAAATTATACCTCAATAAAGCTGTTTAAAAAAAAAAGAATCAATTACAATGGTCTACACAGCTTTCTCGGATTTGTGCCCTAACTTCTTTTCCTACCACGCCCCCTTCTGCTTCCAGTGCTTAGTTTACATTGCCCCCTTGCTGTTCTCTGAACTTGCCCAACACATCCCAGTGTTAGGATCTTTGCACTGGCTGTTCCTTCTGCCTGAAATGCTGTTCCCATATTATCACATGGATTCCTCCGATACTTCCTTGGGTCCCTTTGTAAATGCCCCACCTTCAGAAAGACTTTCCGTGACTGCCTTACCTGTGGTAGCAACCTCCTCCACTCTATCCCCTCACACCAGAGTAGCTCAACCTTTTTTTTCTTTTAATTATTGCTCCCTTAATTAAGGAGGCTTTTTAGTTATTTTTTCTTTTAGTTGTTCCTTACCCTGAAATTTTAATACCCCAGACTTGCTGTATATAAACTGTGCCCACTGGAATGTCACAAACCACTATAATATCTAAAATTTCTTTTATCCCAACAACCAATGGATACCCCCTTGAGGACAAGGTCACCTCCATTTACAAGGCAGGTCTTAAACTGAATTCTTTTTCATCAGAACACTTATCACCACTGGACAGTTATACTTCTTTATTGGCTGTCACCTGCACAAAAATGTGAGCATTGTGGAGAAGGACTTTTTGGTCACCACTATGGCTCCAGTACCCAGTATAATGCCTGGCATGTTTTTATAATAGACTACATATGTCTCTTGGATTTACTGTGCTTTAAATAGGGAGGAGGGGGTGACCCTCAGGGTAGAAGGCCCTGGAAACTGTTGTTGTTGAGTTGTAGGAGCTCCTTACATATTCTGGATGTCAATCCCTTAACCACATATGTGATTTGCAAATACATTTGCTCTGCTTGAAAAAAGAAGAAAACAAGAGGAGGAGGAGGAGGCCAGCAGCAAATGAAAATACTGGATATGAAAAAATATAGTAGCCAAATAAAAGGTGTAATAGACACAATAAGCAGAAGGAAACCTACTAAAGAATTAATTGGTGAGAGTAAGATCAGAACAGAAAACCATCCCAGGAGTAGAGAATAGGAAGGACATGCAAGGAGGTAGAAAGCATAAAATAAAACCTAAGAGGTAGGAACAACAGATCTTTTTGGAGGAACAATGGAAATAAATTTCTCTGAACACAGATTTTTTTTTAATTATGTTCAGTTAGCCACTGTATAGTACATCGTTAGCTTCTGATGTAGTGTTCAATGATTCATTAGTTACATGAAACACCCAGTGTGAACACAGATTTAAAGGGCTCAAATAATGCCCAAAAATCCACACCGAGGGACATCAGAGTGACATTTAACATTTATAAAAGTCAAAGATATTTGCTGATGTTCAAAACTGCTCATATCTTCTATACTTAAAAACCATTTTAGGCCATACTTCTTCTAATATTTTTCTTTTAGTGTTGTTCTATTATCTTCTGGTCAAATATTGAGTTGAGAAAATCTGAGGGAAGCTTAACATTTTCCCGTTTTAAATGACCCGAGTTTTTTATGTTTTTCCTTTATTGGGGGGGGCGGGGGGTGTTGTGGAAAGAGTTTCAATCTGGCCATTCAAAGGATTCTAAAGAGTCTCAAGGACTCCCCAGGACGTGCTCACCATACTCTAAGAACTGCTGTGGTATGAAATATCTTCCGAAAATAACCTCAAGTCTTCTGCTAAGATCCCAGGCTTCATAAAGGAGGTGGGAGAGGGGATAGAAAGATCTGGTTGTTTTTGGTTGTTAATTTTATCATTAAAAAAGTTTTATTATGGGACATTTCAAACACATACAAAAGTAAAAGGAATAGTATGATAAACCCACTTGTGTCCAGCACCCAAAGTCAACATCTAGCTGCTTCCTAAACAAACTTCCTAGGAATCCAATGTGTTGAAGCACCACCTGCACCTCCTCTCCCAGAGGTGACTGGTGCTGACGAGTCCTGAGCCTCTAGGAGAACCCCTGGTGTCATCCAGTTTGCTTGTAGATTTCTTCAATGCTGATTTAGGGTTCCGCTTCCTTGAACTGGTCAGTTTCAATTCACCCATTGCCTTTCCAACTCCCAAAATTTTATTACTTCCATTATGCTCTTTGTCCTTCTGGGTTTACACCTTCTTCTTTATCCCTTTACTATCATTTTTGTGGGAGGGGATGGAGGCCAACACAATCTTCAACCGGCCATCTTTAAGCAAATGTTGATTAATTTCTTGAATTGATCATTTTCTCATTTATGTCTCTCTTGATTATCATTCTTGTATGTTACATTTTCAAAGATAATATTTAAAAATTATCTATTGAGCACTTACTATGTAACTTAATTTATGTATATTAATTTATTAAAAATCTCCAACAAGGACGCATGGGTGGCTCAGTTGGTTAAGCATCTGCCTTCAGCTCAGGTTGTGATCCTGAGGTCCCGGGATGGAGCCCCGCATCAGCTCCCTGCTTCTCCCTCTACCTCTGCCCCTCCCCCCCGCACTCTCTCTCTGTCTCTCATGCCCTCTCTCTCTCTCTCTTAAATAAATAAATAAAATCTTTAAGAAAAATTTCCAACAACATCTATTACACTGTACTACTGTTATCCTATCTAACAGATGAGGAAAATTAACATGTGAAGAACTCACATGGCACTCAAGTTAGTAAGCCAGGATTTGAACCCAAAACCCTAAAGCCCAAGTTCCAAGTCACTGTGGATCCTGCTTCCCATTTCTTTAACTCTGCGAGATAGGCTGTAGAACTGGTCTAGGGGTCTCCAAGACAAGCCAGAGAAACCGACTCTTGTTCAAATTCCACAGCTTTAAATTCAAGGAAGTCCACGGCCCAGCCAGGTTGGCCTGAGTGGACTGTCAGTGGAAAATAAGAACTGTGTTCATGCCTAGGACACAAGGTTCTACCATTCTATAAGGTCAGATCGTATATAGGAACAAGATTGATGAGGTGTACTTGCCTCAGATGTGAGGAGCCCTGTCCATGTACCCATGAGCCTACCTGTTTCAGCCTTATGTATTTTAGGAAGTCAGCTAACCTTCTCAAAGGCTGAAGATGCTCACTCTCTCAGACCTATCCTCCGCAACCAGGTGTTCCCTGAGGTGGCTCTTGAGGGGAATGCTTCATCTTTCCTTAGAGAAAGTGACTGGTCTCTCTGCTGTGTACTCTGGTGACCTCCTTCTGTATCCTCTCAGGAAGGGAACTTTTGGGGCCTACCCATGTGATATCTGCGTCTGTCCCTCAATCAAGTTGAAATGAAACAGGAGGAAGGAAGGAAGGAAGGAAAGGAGGGAGGGTCTCTAGACTGAAAGTCAGTAAAAACAACAACAACAACAACAACAAGAAAAAAGATTTGTAAAGGCTTCTGGGGGTTAAGAAGAGAAACAGTGGCACTGAACAATCCAGAGTGAAATCCCACAGCAGACTTCAAGAGACTGTCCATTGTTGCATATAATTCTGTATCAAGTCAGAAGGTAAAATGTTTTTTTAAAATTCTATAACACATTTATTTATGCACTGCACACATTGAGGAAGCATGGAGTCATGGAGATTAATAGGATAGTTACTAGAAACGGCAAGAAAAGGAAAAAAAAGACTCACCGTGGACTGTGTCTGGGCCATGTATTCACCTTCCATTTTATTCAGACGCACGTTTGTGTCCTCGAGCAACTCTTGAATATTTTCTGTGTGCCGCTTTTGAAGATCAAACTTTTCCTTTTCCATTTCTGCGACGGCATTGTGGAGCTACACAGTGAATTCAAGAAGTGACTCTTTCACTATTATTATAGAAGAGGCTACTTTGCAATTCAGAAAAAAATGTTTTCCTATATTTCTCTATTTATTTATTTGGTGACCTGAACAATAAAAGATATAAAACTCATAAATAAACATTCCAAGTAAAGAGATTATATAAAAGATTGTTATAAGATTTATATAAAAAGAGTATATAAAAAATTGTTAAGAAACTATTTTTTTCAGGGTGCCTGGGTGGCTTAGTCGGTTGAACATCCAGCTCTTGATTTCGGCTCAGGTCATGATCTCGGGTTCGTGAGACAGAGACCTGCATCGGGCTCCATGCTCAGCAGGAAGTCTGCTTGAGATTCACTCTCTCCCTCTCCCACTGCCCCTAACCCCACTCTCTCTCTCTAAAATAAACAAATCTTAAAAAAAAAAAAAAAAGAAAGAAACAATTTTTCTTGACTTCCCTGAGCTGAAAATTTTAATGAATAAACAAATATTAAACGGAATTATCCACCTCAGGTAGAAACAGTAAATAAATCAGACAGATAACACAATGCCTCGGCTGAACAACACTAGTATTTGCCTGAAATCAGGAAACAGAAGTATTTAGAATATTGTTATTGACTAGGAATATTATCTCACTGTCGGGATTTTCATCTCGTTTGCACAAAATTTTGCACAAGAGTAGTGTTAAAAATGCTTTCCCCTTCACCCTAACCCCTGACAAGTAACTATTTTTACCCATTCCATAATCTATACAAAAGTAGATTTAAAGATGGCATTTATAAATCAAATAGGGAAAGAGTTTGCTAAGTAGAAATGTATACTACATGTCCTCCTGTATACTGGTCTTTTTAAGATTATGTATCCACTGTTTAAATGTATGAAGCACCAAAATATCTATTTAACTAAGGTAAGGAAAACATGGTTCAGTGGATAGCTTCCAAAGGGAATTAAAAATCTGCTCCCAGCCTGGGGACATTCCTTCACTTATCTTAACGGGAGTGAAATTCTGAATCTAACTCCTATCCCCACACCTAACCCCAGGCTCACTCAGTTGGTGGGGAGGGAAAAAGTCCAGAAGGGTTTATAAGATTTGATTTCCTATTCATGAATAGGAGAGACAAGGATACAACACATGCATAGAGATTCTGATTTGACTAGGAAGGTACTGAACTAACAGGGAAAACCCTGAGACATGGTGGGAACTCGAGGCAGAATGCGGGCAGTAGTTGTGCTCATTATTGGCAAGGGCCCCAAGAACTTTTCTCATTTCTAGCTGAACAGCAAAAGTGGGGATGGCCCAGTATTAGCTACACAAAAGAAGACCCTTGGGTTTCACAAATTTCACATATGCAGTTTGGGCTATTTTTGAGTGGTACCCAAAATCCCTGATATGTTGGGTTTATATTTTTGCCAAAGTCTGTTTCAAATTGGTGTTACATCTGATATTCAGAAGTCAGTCACTTAATTGGCCCATGAATGTGGCCAAGCCCACAGCATCTGAATTTCAGTGCTGTCGACTGACCTATGTAGTAACTCTGACAAAGTGATCGAAAGGTCACTTAGAATTTTGTGGTTTTACTCATGTTGTAGTGGTTTCTTTATGTTTGTGGTCTCCCAGAGGTCCTAGGACATATGCCTACCGAATGCTGCAAATCTACTCCATCTAGTAGTCCATTAGTGCATTGTGGTTTCTTGGGTGCATCCCACAATTGATTTACAAGGGGACTGTGCCTGTTGAAGCTGGAGGAATGTCTGTAAGTCAGCCCGAATTATCTCATCCAGGGAACTCAGAGTTAAGACTGCAAGGGTAAACATGATCCTGGCAGAAACACGTATGCTCTAATTTGGCAGACACGTCTGAGGATCAAGCAGGTATATGTAGTCTAATAATCTGACCGGAGATGACTAATACTCAAGTATTCACCCGGAAATTTTATTAGTATCTACCACGTACCGGGCACAACACATCACTGAGAGTTTTCCCAGACGTAGCAATGAATTGCGGTCCAGGTCACTTGGTCTGGGAGGCTTTAAAGGGCAAACATTCCCCTGAGGGATAGGCTGTTTTAGCAGCAGGTATTATTTGTCATGCTCTGAAGTAGAGACCTTGCTGAGATTTATTAAGCCATCGGGATGCCACCAGGGCCCTGATAATGAGGAGATCTACCCATTTTTTTAGCCAGGGTTTGGCAATGGGTACGGGGGATGCAGAAGACCTTCCCAGCATCCTACATATGGGTCTTACGCCTGGACATTTGACCATGTAGTTGTCTCATGCAGGAAGGGACGCAGAGAAACCAGGAATCTGTCTAAATAGATGGAGAAGCACTGGAAAAGCCCACAGGTGAGTGGTGCAGCCACTCTGGAAAACAGGCAGTTCCTTGAAATGTTAAACACAGAATCACCATATAACCCAGAGATTTCACTCCTAAGGGTACACCTGTGAAATAACAGAAAAAATTGTTCCTGGAACAGAGCTAAAATCCCTGTAATGTCCTAAGTGATAAGAGCACTACAAGCATCTTTTGTTCTAATATTTGGTCTTTGACCCTGGTTCCGGGCCTAGAGCTCCTAAATCCCTTAGAATTTCCTGGGTGATAGGAGTGTGTGTTGTTCTAATGAGACAACTTTGGATGGGCTCTTGGATAGCTTCAGGATGGGGGCTGGTGACCTAGATGGTCAAGCCACACGATTAGAAGCTTATAACTTTCAGCCCCATTTCCCCATCCTCTAGGAAGGGGAGAGTGGCTAAAGATTAAGTTTACCATTGCTCCTACCTGTGTAATAAGGCCTACCCAAAAGTTTGGGGCTTGGAGAGATTCTGGGTTGGTGAACACATGGAGGTACTCAGGGGGTGATGTGCCAGGAGAGAGTGAGGAAACTCTGTGCCCCTTCCCACATACCTAGCCCGGTGTATTTTTTCGTCTGGTTATTTATCAGCATCTACTATTACACCCTTTATAATAAAACAGTAAGTGCAAGTAATGTTTCCCTAAGTTCTGTGAACTATTCCAGCAAATCACAGAGCCCAAGAAGGGTTTCACGTTATTCCTATTTATAGCGGCTTGGTAAGAAGTACAGGTAACAACCTGGGACTTTTGATTGACATCTGAAGTGGGGGCAGTCTGGTGGGATTTAGCCCTTACCTTGTAGGATCTGACACTAACTAACTCTAGGCAAATAGTGTCAGATTTAGTTGAGTTATAGGACATCCAGTTGGCATCCAAGAAAATTGCTTGATGTGCAGAAAACCCACATATCTGGAGTCAGAAGTATTACGAGTGTATGAGTGAAGGAAAACATAGACAGTGTTTTTCCCCATACAATAGCCAAGAGAAAAGAAAACATATGGCCACACAAAAACTCATACACAAATTTTCACAGCAGCATTGTCATGATATCCAAATAATGTAATCAATTCAAATGCCCATCAACTGATGAATGGATAAACAAAATGTGGCATGTCCATTCAATGGCTTATTCAGCTTTAATGCTGACTGAACTCCTGATTTATGCCACAACATGATGAAACTTAAAAACATGGTAAGTGAGAGAAGTCAGTCACAAAATGCCACGTAGTTGTGTGATTCTACAGGCAAAACTCTAGAGACAGAAAGTGGATTAGTGGTTGTAAGAGGCTGGAGGAAAGGGAAACAGGAAGTGACTGCCCATGGGTTTCTCTCTGGGATGACAGAAATGTCCTAGAAATTAGATAGTGACGATGGTCACACAATTTTGTAAATATAATGAAAACCACTGAACTGTACACGCACTTTTTTTTTTCTTTTTTTTTTAAAGATTTTATTTATTTGACAGAGAGAGATAGCGAGAGCAGGAACACAAGCAGGGGGAATGGGAGAGGGAGAAGCAGGCCTCCTGCCGAGCAGGGAGCCTGATGCGGAACTCGATCCCGGGACCCCGGGATCATGACCTGAGCCGAAGGCAGACGCTTAACAACTGAGCCACCCAGGCGCCCCTGAACTGTACACACACTTTAAAAGGATGAGCTTTGGGGCGCCTGGGTGGCTCAGTCGTTAAGCGTCTGCCTTCGGCTCAGGTCATGATCCCAGGATCCTGGGATTGAGCCCCGCAATGGGCTCCCTGCTTGGTGGAGAGCCTGCTTCTCCCTCGCCCACTCCCCCTGCTTGTGTTCCCTCTTTTGCTATCTCTCTCTGTCAAATAAATAAAAACAAATAAATAAATAAATAAATAAAAGGATGAACTTTATGGTGTGTGAATCATACTCAATGTTTTTAAAGGCCCACAGATTAGAAATAGCATGGTAGAGTCAAATAACTGGGAAAGTTCTGTGAAGCCAGTCCAAAAGTACAAGAAGTGTAGGGTTGTGACAGAAGGTGAGGCTTGTGAGATCCAGAGTTATCAGTCATGAAGAGCCCTGTCAATTTCCTACTGGGAAGGCACTGGAGTGCTTTAAACATGGTGGTGAGGGAAACCAGATGTGTGTTAGAAAGACCATCGGTGTGGTGTATTGTGGGGCGTGGACTAAAGAGGGGCAGAGTTACAGCAAACCTAGGAAGGGGCGATGGTCTCTGGAACTAGGGAGGGGACAGTGGTGAATAACAAAACAAGCAGAGTGAACAAAACAAGTAGAACTTGGCAAGTGATTGGATATGAGAGATGAGGCAAAAAGAAAAGCCTAAGCAGCTGGGCAGACAGCAATGCCACAGGGAACAGGGAATAAGGGAAAACCCCTAGGAGGAGACTGGTTTAGCAACAAAGGAAGAAGATGGGGTTTGGCGAGAACAATGGGATTTAGATCAAGGAGAGACCTTAAGTAGGTAGTTGTATAGCGGACTTGGAGTGAGAGATGTTGGATGGAGATTTCTATGAGGGACACTATGGAGTACATGTACACATAGGCAGGCACACACACACCATACATACCCACGTGCATGCACATACATGCACACACGTGCACACTCACACCACCTGTCCATATAGATGCTTAATAACTTTCTAATGAATGACTGCATACATTACAAAGTAATTTAGTATCAAAAAATTATCATCTGCTTATTAATTTTTGGTACCTATCTTGCTTGCACCAGGTTTTCACCTCAGATTTACATGCAATTGTACTTCACAAAAAAGAACTTCAATCACATTTGCAGTGCATTCATATCCACTAATTACTGTGCAGCTGTAAGAAAGATTTGTTCACCCAACTGAAGGAATAAAATGTACCCTCGTACATAGGAGAAGGCAGAAAACTTTTCTCTTCCAAGAAGACCTGGCAATTTAAACTGAAAAATAAGGAACTAGGGAATCCGACAAAGGGAGGAAGGGGACCGGCTATGTATGCAATGTACCTGCAACAAACACAAAAATATGCCAAATTTATAGAAAAGATAAAACCAAAATGTGAGAAAGAGGGAAAAAAACACATAAATTGACAAAATAAAACCAGAAAAGAGCTAATTCTCCACATCCTGATATATCTGCAGTGCACTTCCCAGACTCGTCCTAAAGCTGCCGTCACCAGGACATATTACAGACCCACAGTGTCTGCTTGGAAAGACATTTATAACTTTCAGTAAAATATGCTGAACCCAGACTATAATTGAGAGAATATGAGTTAACAATATCTTTACGACAGAATACCTCAAAAGAAGTGACATACTTTATTTTAAACACATATTGTAATTTGAAATAATGGCTTAAGGGCTTAAGTGAAGTACTATACAACTATGTGAGATTTGTTCATAAGAAATATTTTTATTACATTGCTCTTGGCACTGCTAATTCATATGAAAATATTTTTCTTAATTAAATTAAATGATCCTCCAAGAATAACCCATCCACTACTGATTTTGTTTACATCAAAAACAAGTTTATACTATAATTATTGTGTTATCTGAAATTTCAGAAAAGAAATGATCCAATGGCCTAAATCCAAAATTAAAATAAGGTAAAATCGGGGCGCCTGGGTGGCTCAGTTGGTTAAGCGACTGCCTTCGGCTCAGGTCATGATCCTGGAGTCCCGGGATCGAGTCCCGCATCGGGCTCCCTGCTCAGCGGGGAGTCTGCTTCTCCCTCTGACCCTCCCCCCTCTCATGTGCTCTCTCTCTCTCTCTCTCATTCAAATAAATAAATAAAATCTTTAAAAAATAATAATAAAAATAAAATAAAATAAGGTAAAATCTCCAAAACTTATCCTACTACCTTTTCCCTGCTAATTTTTCTTAAAAACTATAGACTATGACAAAAAATTTAGAACATGAAATTCAAGAATTAGTCAAAAGTTTTCTAAGTGAAAACTACTTTATAAACCATTAGACTTCTAGAAGAAAATATACCAAAACATGAACAATATCTAGACAGTTGGTCTTCAATTTTATTTTATTTTTTTCATACTTTTCTGTATATTCTGTGAGCATCCATTATTTTTATAATAAAATATTTTATTCTGAAGCATAAACCTTTGTATTTTCCATCATAATTTTATGACGCTTACCTTTTTTTCCCAATCATTATTCAGAGATTCTGTACTCTGTTCACATATCTTTTTTAGCTCTGTAATCTGGTTTTCTTTGGTCTCTCTGATAACTTGACAGTCACGAATAAGGGCCTGAACTGTCAAAAATGATGAAAACATAGTTAAGCCAATTCTAGCTACCTCATAAGAGTCTGATGACAAAAAATATGGTTCACCAGTTAACAGATAGTTCCATTTTTCTGCAAGTCTTCTCAATTGTCTAAAGTATCTCTTATTCCTTCCTTTCTCCATTTCTGGTTGAATCCATTATTACTCACTCTCTAGACAATTTTAACAGTGTGCTGGCCTTCGTATCATTCCCTTCCAGTGGGCCCTCCACTGCTCTGAGAGGCCTTTCTACAGTGAAAATCCAGCCCTGTTACTCCCAGACTTGAAATCTTTCTGCAGCTTCCCTCACCTAAAAGGTAAAAGCCAAAAATCTCTAATATGGAAAACAACTCATCATGATCTGACTGCTTCCTGGCCGTATCTCTCACCACTTCCATATTTTTAACCTTGTACTGTAAACACACAAACCTATCTGCAGCTTCCTGAGGCCATATTCTTTCATCTATTCACGGCCTAACTGATCATTTATTATGTGGAATGCCCGTCCCTCCCTTGTTGAAAAACCGCTACTTATCCTTGGTCTCAATTCGAGTATCACCTTCTTTATGACCCATTCACCAACCAGATTTCTCCCCTTGGAGGGGCAGAAAGCAACTCCTCCTCATTCCCAGGGAACCTCATCTATTTCTCCAATAAATCACTTATTACTTTATATGTTATAATGGCTTACTTGCCTATCTCCTGAGGAGAAAGATATTTCAACTTTTTATCTACAGGGCATAACAAACACTGCCACACAGGCAAGGACTCAAAAAGATGTGTCCTGGATACACAGATGGAGGAACTCATCATTCCAATATATCATTACTCCTAGATACGTTAAAATCATTGCCAAGGTTTATGTTACTGAAACAAAATAGACTGTAAATATATAAAACATTTGCCTTATAAATCATTTAAATTTCTATCTTCTTTTTTTAAAGAACTGTCGCTGATTTAAGTGAAAATTTGTTTAATATATCATGTAAAATAAATTCTGGAGGGTAAAATAAATTCAGTTGTACGTTTGCTTGAATGTACTATTTTTCCTAGCTTACTGAATATGTTCTTCACTTTCTTTAAGATTGCAAAATTTTCATAAACATTTACATAGAAACTTCTTTCACTCATGTATCTCAACTATGCAACACAGGAGGGGAAAAGGCGAAGAATTCAAGTTAACCGAATATTAGTTTTTAATATCTACAACATTTTACTTCACAATCCCAAAATTAAAAGTAAGATCTGTTTGCAATTCAAAAAGCCTTAGGAAATACTATTTTTAAACCTTAGGCATGTTTAAATTGCCTGGTTTGAATCAGGGTAAGAAACGAAAACCTAGAAAAAAATTTTAAATATTTTTGTAGCCACTGATATTTGGCAAAAGAACCTGAACAAATTTCTAATTACTTTCACCAACATTTAAGGCTGGAAATAAACCTAAAAATATCTATTTCATTAGTTAACTTATATACGTAATTGCCACCCTAAATTTCAAGGGCATTACCGTTCTCTCAGATACATTCAGGCTTGGCGGTTTGGGAGAGAGCCAGTAAGTTCCATATGGAAACCCTAAACAGAAAGCTCTCCCATCGCTTATATCTTACCATTCACCAAATCCTCCAAAATATCTTCTTCCCTTCCACTCTCACTAGCCTCCTCGCCCCTGCCATCATTCAGGTATTCTGGGTCCTTATCATCTCACATGCAAAGTTACCAAAGCATGGAAGCACAACATCCTTGAGTTGGAAGGGACTTTATATATTATTTATTCCAACCTCACCATTTTATAATGAGTAAGCCATAGCCCAGAAACTTCCTGATGTCATATAGCAGACATTGAACACCAGGGCTGGGATTAGAGCCCATGTTTCTAAGTGGAATGCACTCTTGCTCTCTCTCACTTTCTCTCACTCTTCCTCACTCTCTCTCTCTCTCCTGCTGCCTCTATTATAACAGACTAGAAACCAGCCTCACTTTGTTTGGCACACCCACCGTTATCAGGCTACTTCTCCTAAAACATGAGGTCCTAAAGCTCACCTCTCAAAAATCTTCTCTGACTCTCCAGCATCAACAGGATAAACTTGAAACTTCTAAGCCTGAAATTCAAGGTCATACTTAAGTCAGGACAAGTCCTGTGTCTAGTCCTTTGCAATCCTTCTCCTAATGCACGGGACCATCCCCTCCAGCCCAGCGGTTCTGCAGCATCCTTCCTACACCTGACGACAGAGCATTCCTATCCCTGTACCTGTAACTCTTCTCTCGAACTAATCAAATCTTACAAAACTTTTAAAGTTCCTTTCTCCAAAACATATTTTCATCAACACTCACTCTCTCTGCCTACCTGTTGCATTTCAGTGTTTAACCTACAGTCATAGTCAATTTTTACACTTGATTACATGCTTTATTTTCCTTCGTAATGGAAGTGGGAATGGGGAATACTTTTTAAATGTTTGTTCTGTCAGTCACGATACCAGCATATACCACAAGGCTTAAAGTAAATACTTAATGCAATGAATTTTATTAGACCACGAGGAGTAATTTCCCTAGACTTCCCTGTGAAAGCCAGTAAGCTCTAATCTATAACCCACCCAGGGCAGCTCCAGTCCAATAAGGAGAGAAAATTAGGAAGAGGGAGGAACAGTGACAGACTCCTTAACCAAACCAACCATCACTGCCGCCACCATCACCCATACATACACATACCTACACACACATACACACATACACACCACATCCCCCCCGACATACCCCCCCCACACACACCACACCCCATACACACACCATACACACACATACACCAACCACACACACCATACACACACATACACACAAACACACCATACACACCCAAATATACACACACCACACACCCTATACGTACACATATGTACACACACACCACATACCCCCCACACACACCACCTACACATACACACCATACACACACACACACACACCACATACCCCATACACACACCCCATGCCCCCCACACACGCATACCACATACCCCATACCCACACACACACCATACACACGTATCACACCATACACTTCATACACACACAGAGTTTTTTCTCAGTTGTATGAAAGCCCACATAAACATCCCCATGTCATGTTAAAAGGTCAAAAATAAAATTTTACTTGATACAGCCACTAAAATAAAATGGAAATGTTTTTAAAAAATTAATGTAACCATACAACATCACCTTTTTTTTCAAGTTTTCTAATAGTCTCCTCCATCTCATTTTGTTTCTTTTTGTATAAAGTTTTCAATTCTTCTATTTCATTATTCTTTCTTCCTAAAATCTGCAAATGAATTTAAAATGTTTTAGTAAACTATTTTTTATACATAGAACACATAACTTTTTTAAATAAGCACAATATTTTTTGCAAATCTCTCAGCTAATCCCATAAATGGTTTCCCAAAAAAAGATGTAAAAATTGTATTTTAGTGCACTGAGAAAATATCAAATATACTAGAATAATTGATTACTGAAAGAAATATGTTATCAGCTTCCAATTTTCATATATTAAGTTTTGAGAATATAAATAATAAATTAGGTGATTCTCTAAAATACAATTCAGAGATTAAAGGGTCATAAAGTAGCAGAGAGAAGCCATCAGAAAATCGGCATGTTGGTGCAACACGATCCACCCCCCGCTGCACAGGGACAGAACAACTTCAGATGAGTGGTCCCTGGATCCTCCCTCCCTCTGGTGTCCTTTCTTTTTCATGCACAATAACAAGAATCCCCAGACACATGGGAAGATGAGCTGTATTAGGTTTCTTTTATATCTAGTTCTGCTATTATGAATCAAAAAAATCAGTTCAAAATAAGTCAAAAATTGCATGAATATTTTACATCGTTAATTGTATTGTGCCAGAAGTTTTAAATGAATTGTTTTATAAGATTTAATCATGATTTTATACTCCTAAATACATCTGTACACACATGCACAAAAAAAAAGAAAAGAAGAGAAAAAGAAAACCTGGAGAAATAACCAAAATGTAGTAGCTAGCAAGTAGGACCAAAAATGTGCTAACAAAGGGGAAAAAAGAAAACCAAACAGAGGCAGGAGTATGAATATCCACTTTTCTTATGGTTGGAGTATATTTCCTATACACCCAAATTCAGCTTAAAAAAAAAAAAAATGGCAGGGGGCATTATTCACCACCGTCTAACCAACTTTTTCTTAGTGCTTTTATTACCAGCATTTTACTTTACCTTTCATGGTTTTAGTTCCACCTCTAAGAATGATTGGTAAATAAGAAAAGGAGCCAGTTTGATCCCAATGTTCATAAAGAAGCAAAAAAGGAAAAGAATGTATGCAAAAAGGTAAAACACTCTAATTTTGTTCCTTCCCAATTCCTGACACTTAGAAAATGCCTTCTAAGCAACAAACTGATGAATATACTTTCCAAATCTGGCATAAGATCAAGGATTTTATTTATATTTTACCTGGCGTTTCAAACTAGTTGCATTGCTTTCTTTTTTCATGCAGAATTTATTTTAAAAGAGAAATTCCTGGAAAGAATTTTATTATTAAATGTTTTTCTTAGAATAGATTTTTGTAATGGACATACCGAGAAGCCTATTTCAAACTCTATTATCGTGATTTTTCCAAATATATTTTTATACTTACTTATCTTATACATCAATAGATTCTATTTCATTTGGATAGATATATTAAAATTATATTACTAAATCTCTAACATATTTGTGATAGAGAGCTGTTTTTATCTAACCAATTTAAGCTAAGGTAAAATTCTAGTAAGAGCAGAAAGTTATACTGGCCTTTAAATGTGAACAGGAAAGAAGAAAGAAAAAGGAAAAGGATTCAATATTTTTTCTCTTTCTAATTTTCAATCAGTGGTTTCCTTCTTTTGCTTTTAAAGAAAATGAGCCAAATATGCACCTGAATAAATATTAATATATTTTCAGCTTTTAAGAGAGCTTGGGTATGTGATGTGTGGCCTCAAGTCCCTGCCACCATCTCTGTCACTCAGTTTTGGGAGGCTTTGCTGTGAAACAGAAAATGCCAAGTTTCTATTTGGATTAACCTTCATGTATTAAAATATATAAAAATACCACTCAGTTTTTTAAATCAATACTAAAATACACTAATCATTCAAATTCCATGTGGGATAACAATAAATTAATTATTGGTGCTGTGCCCATTAAGAAGAAAAATAAGTTTTCTTTAAAAAAGCAAACTGAAACATTAAAAGGCATAAATCCAATGAGCTAGTGAACAAAGAAGCCTATATTCCATGCTACCATCACAATGCACGCAGTCTATACCAAACAGAACTAAATCCAAAAGTTCTTTTTCCAATTAAAAAGAAAATTTTAATTTCCAGAAACCCAAAAGAACATCAGACTATCAGACTAAAAGAAATGCTAGTGTTTACAGCTGATCTCTTCAGCTTTTACGAAAGGTAATGATAGAATGCAGATTACGGACTATAAGAAGGCCAGCCTTCAAACAACAGAGGAAGAACTAAAAGGCAATTGAAACCATAAGGATATTTACATAGACACATTTGTTTAGAAGATGAAGTTTAAAGATCAACTTTGGCCAAATTATTAATTTAGCAAATTCCATTTAAAGCACAGACTGTTATAAGTACGTAAATAAGTGGATGGTGGGATGAGGGTTACAAGACCTAGAATATTCCGGCAGATACCCTACCTTCTGAACGTCGGCATCATGTTTCTGCTGCAGTTTAAGCTTCTCCTCATGACATTTAGCTTCCAGCATTTTTGTTTTTATGTCCAACTTCAAGAAAAACATTTTAAAGGTGTTATTAACATACTTTTCCCTTTGGCAAAAGCACACAAATTAAAATAATTGCCGATGTGACAGTATCATTTTCCACTTTTTTCTTATGGCCACTGGTCTAGCAATCACATCATCTTACCAAAACTTTGGTTACATTCTTTGATTACCTCCAAGCTAACTTTCAAATAAATTTCACTGGACAGGCAAAACAGAGACTACTAAATACAGATTCAGCAGTTATCCCCACCCCACTCCACCCTCAAAAGAAGTCCTCTTAAATTTATATTTTGCTATAAATCCAATAGTAGTTTAGCCTTTGTTTACTATTTCTGAGCCTCTATGCAACCTTTTTACTTTTTTCTTTTCTCGTATCTACATGCTTATTAAAACTACTCTTATTTACCTACATACTTAAATATGACAATTTGAGAGTGGATGTCCACAATTATGGCATATTACTGATAATCACACATTTCTCTTAACAGATTTTCCAGTTCTGTCTCCTGGAATCATAGACCCTGACTACTTCAAGGAAGTAACTTAATCTCCTTTCGAGCATTCATTAACAACTCCTATCCTTATCAAACCAACACCTACTGTACCAGTGCTCTGAGCGAAGCCAGCCAAAATGTAACCAATCCTTATTGATAATAATGGGCACATCTCAGAATTAAAAGAATAATAGTGACAGGTTTTAAAATGAACAACATGAAATTGATTATCTCAAATGTGAAAGTGTTTGACCACCTGATTCCTTACCCTTTGAAAGAGTATATACATTGGAGTCTGACAGACCTCATTTCTATTTCGAATTCTAATCCCACTACATTAACTGTTGTGACTTTGGGCATGTCACCATTTTGAGATTTTATTTCCTCTCCTGCTAGTTAAGATTAATTACCCTTACCTCAACGAGCTGTGAAGCTTATTTTCAATGATATCACTTAAGTAACTATACTCAGGACAATGCTTGGCACAAAGTAGGTACTCAAAAAAATTAGTCTACAACCTTCAGGAAAATTTTCTTTTAAAATATTACAGGGACGCCTGGGTGGCTCAGTCGGTTAAGCGTCTGCCTTCAGCTCAGGTCATGATCCCAGGATCCTGGGATCGAGTCCCGCATCGGGCTCCCTGCTCTGCGGGGAGCCTGCTTCTCCCTCTGCCTCTGCCTCTCTCTCTCTCTGTCTTTCATGAATAAATGAATAAAATCTTTAAAAAAAATAAAAAATAAAATAAAATATTACAAATGTACTGTCAAAATACTCTCTTGAAAATTTCTGAAATACACTTTATATTTTTCAATTGCTGTTTCAAAAAAGTAATGAATCTGAACTTAAGATAAACAGGCATTATCAAATCAACATAGTAAAATGAAATTTAAAACTTTCACAAAGTTAACACAATCTCATGATTTTTTAAACACTGAGTGGTGGAGAGGAAAGCAGTCATCCATTTACTACACACAAGGAAAAAATTGTGAATGTTTCCATTCTTTTGCCTCTAACTCCCTTTGTTACTTCTTCCTCATTTTAGCAGAAAGGGGGCTGGGTGGTCTAAGTCCATGTGAAGATCCTCAACAGAAGCATTTTAGGAGTCTATTAAAAAATAATCAAACTCAAAAAAGCAATATAAGCAGGCTGGGCAGACATGGGAGACACAGTTCATTGCCGTATCTTTCCCTAACACTTTCGAGAGAATTTGTCATACCCTCGGCTTCTGAGGGCCAGCCCTAAATGCCATGGATCTATGTTGCCATAACCCAACCCACCTCCTCCCATCTGTTCCACTTCAATCTTGGTTGACCAGATAAGGAATAAACACCTGACACATGCTTAACCAATCCATTAGTTAGAACATAATCATTCCGATGCTCTCTCTCAAGAATCTGAACTAGGACAGCAAGTTAGTGACTTTGAGGAACAAACAAGTCCTAGAGGGGCAGCAATCAAAAGAAAGCAGATGAATCCATTATACAGAAGAGAGCAAAGCACATACACCAACATAACAAAGACCAGACACCATACAGCGTCTGAAATTTGAAGTAAGCAAACTCAGGCCCTAATAGTGTCCATGACAGTAGGAGTACTTGAATTCAAAGGTTTCCTACATTCCTTTTTATTTCAGGGAAACTTGATGGATCTCTGTTCTTGCAACCATACAGATATATCTAAATTTGATTTTTCTGCTATAATTTTTACTTTGGTATAATATTAAACTTAAAGAAAAGTTGCAATAATAGTACAAGGAGCTCCCATATACCCTTTACCCAGATTCGCAAACTGTTTATATTTTGCCTGATGTGCTTTATCATTTCTTACGCCTGTATCTATTTATAGACATAAATAAAATTATTTTCTGAACCCTTTGTGAGAAAGCTAGAGACGTCATGCTCCTCTGTCCCTAAAAAATTCAGTGTATATTTCCTTAAAACAAAGATGCTATCTCCTATAACCACAGCCATTATCAAAATCAGAAAATGTAACAGAACACAATAATATTACTTTTTTTTTTTTTTTAAAGATTTTATTTATTTGACAGAGAGAGCACAAGCAGAGGGAGAGAGAGGGAGAAGCAGGCTCCCTGCTGAGCAAGGAGCCCGATGCGGGACTCGATCCCAGGACCCTGGGATCATGACCTGGGCCGAAGGCAGCCGCTTAACCGACTGAGCCACCCAGGCGTCCCCACAATAATATTACTTAATGCACAGTCTATAGTCAAGCTTTATCAATTATCACAATAATGCCATTAGCAAGTATTTTTTTCCCAGTCCAAGATCCAATTCAAGATCACGCATTAGCCTTAGGTATCATATCAACTGTATCTCCTAGGACAGCCTTTCTTTGTGTTTCTTGACCTTGACATTTTAGGAGAGTACAGCCAATCATTAAATGTCCCTCAATTTGGATTTGTCTAATGTTTCCTGATGACCAGACTTATTTTTATTAGATTTTAGCAAGATTAACACTAATGTGATGTTGTGTCCTTTTTCATTCCATCTTATTAGGAGGGGGGTGGTTTGTCCCAATATTGCCAATGTAACATTTGATAACTTGGCTAAGAGAGAGAACACCAAGTTATCATAAGGGTAGTATTAAAAAGAAAGTTTCTCTACTGCCATCCTAAAATAATGATAATAAAAGAGTATCTCTTTTCTAGAAACTCTTACCTTGACACCACAAAATAGTTCTATATTTCTGCCATACTTGGGGGCATGATTCATGATAAATTATCAGGATGAGAATATAGAAACAATCTTATTAGTATAGTATATAAAGGCAATACAGGACACAAGATACAGATATATAGATATGCATAAATCTATGTGCATCCATATACATATACCATATGCATATGGAAAGACAGTAAACAGCCTTGCTTAATTTAACACAAAGACTGAAATTAAGACTAACTATAGCACTTCTAATTTGTTTGACAAAACCCCCCCCACCCCCCGCCTCCAGTAAGTCTGATTCCAAACAACATTTAAGTTTTCTTTAACTGGGCTCAGCATATACACTATCAATTTCAAACTGAAGAACCATGGAGGTCTACTTCAGGTTATAATGGAGTAACTAGTACCAAACTCACCTCCCATTGTTAACAAGCACAAAATGGGATGAAATATAGGAGGTGACCATTCCCAGGTATTAGGAAACAGGCAGTGTGATATTGTCATCCTCCTAAGCTGAGTCCCACTATCATTCTGGCTCTCTGCATGGGCACAACCACAGTCCACATAGAGCCCCAAAGCTCTACTGAACTGGGAAGGCAAAGGTCAGAGTTCAAGACAGTTGAAGAAGCTGGAATCCTAAGGAAAGGGCACTAGGGAAATGGGAACTGCCAGCAGGAGCCCCTGCCAATCCTTGAGAATGGGCTGGGATGTGTGTGCATCTGATGCACCAGGTGCATGCACTGGGTAAATAACAAAGCCTGGCTGCTATAAGGTAGAAAATACAAGAGAAAGCACAGATTATACAGTGCTGTGAGATATTGAAGGCCCAGCCCAGCAAACTGAAGACATCTTCCTAACAACTTGGGAATACCTGGGCATCTAGCTGAAACACCACAAAGGCCACATTTTAGGCTTATCCTAAACCTACACAATAAAAGCAAGCCTTTGTAAGATCTTCAGAAGAGACAGAGCTTGTAGATTAGATCCCACCATGTTGGAGGAGTTTGGGAAATATCTTTGGCTTTCCACATATTTTCCTTAATAGAATGTAAAGCCAAGTTTACACAGGTTAGAGGTAACTTACCAAATAACTGAACAGCCCATAAGAACAATAACAATAACAATAAAAATCACGATTCTATGGCAGAAAACCACAGAATCTAGAGGTCTCTAAAATGTATCATCCACAATGACAATGTCCTTTACACAGAAATTAATAAACACGGGAAAAAAATGTCTATAGGCAAGAACAAAAAAGTAAAAGGAGTTAATAAGGCCCAAGATGAACCTACTTGGCACGTAAGACTTTAAAGCAGTTAATAGAAATACTGCAGAGAACTAAAGGAAAATGTATTAAAAAAAATAAAAATTCATTTTAATGAGAGAACAGATAAGGAATCTCAGCAGCGTAATGGAATTGTAAAAAGAAACAAGTAGAAATTCCAGAAAAGAAAATTATAACAACTGAAAGGGAAAAAAATCTCTAGATAAGCTTAGCAATACATTTGAGATGGCAGAAGAAAGTGTCTGTAAATTCGATGACACATCAATAGAAATGATCTAACCCAATGACCTGAGAGGAAAAAAAAAAGATTAAAGAATTAATGAAAAGTGAACAAAACTTTAGGCAGCTGTGGAACAAAATCGAAGAGTCTAATATACCTAAAGAGGTGAGTGAGAAAAGGGAGAAAAAATATTTAAAGAAATAGTGGCAAAGAACTTCCCAAGTTTGAGAAAAAATAAATACTAACTTAGAGATCCAAGATGCTCAGTCAACTCTGAGATGTGATAAATACAAAGAAAACAACATCTAGGCGTATTACAG